CCCCCCCCCCCCCCCCACTACACTACTGGATATACATTGAGCAAGAACACTCACATACAGTATGTGTAGTTTTACTAAGCGTAAAACAACCTTCCTCTCAGAATGTGTTTGTGAGCCGATTGTTCGCTACTCAGTTATTCTATACGAATTTTCTCGTCCATTTTTGCGTTCAAAATCCGTTCTTAATAAAACATTAATAACGGCACTTCCGTTGGGCTTGTTTGCCCAACAAAACTCCAAACAAAAAATACGCCACTCCTAAAACGCGACGGATATATAAAAATTATATTAGAAAATAATTAAAATAGAAAGTTATCATTTGTTTTTTATTAGACATGAATCCGTAATTGAATTGTGATGAATACAGATATGTCGGCTGACCAAAATCCAACGAATCTAAATTTATATAATTGCCAAAATGTTATCATTGGTGATAACAACAAAGTTAACTTACAAAGTGATGAGGTGCAAGGTATGTTTACGATTTTCACAGAATTGTGACATAAAAAACTCAATAAATAAGATTTATTATATTAGACATGTATACGTGTAATGTTAAAATAGTTCAATTATAGTAAAAGGAGGATCAATAATAAAAAATACATGTCCACTGTGTATGTAAAAATACAAACATACCAAAACTACTTTTTCAGGAGAGGATTTGTGAGGGGAGGGGGGAGCTTGTTAGCCATTGTTTGCCAAGTTCAATATCCATCTACAAAAGTCTCGCATCTTGTCAACAAGATGTGTTCACAACAGCCTTGAAGTTGTCACAATGATGTTAGTTGGTCAAGTTGCTACAAGATTGTCGCTCTCAACTTGTTGACAAATTGTTAAATTACAGGACGATAACAAGTTGTTGAAACAGCTTGTAATAAGGCTGTTGAATCCACAATCTTGTAACAAGTTGTTTAGCAAGCCGTTGACAACTTGTCAACAAGATGGGGACAAACAGTACGAACAAATCCCGAGAACGAGTTGTTCAAATAGGTGACCTCTGCAGGCATATTGTATTTCACCTGGGTTGCTTTTAATTTTTTTTGCTTGAAACCAATCACTGGTCAGTGGTGCCTGCACTGTGTTTGCACCAAACCAAATATAAATATTGATTCGCTGTGTAGGCGAGAATTACATAGTAAACATAGTCATAGTTCCATAACGTTTTGTATATAGTATAAGTATGTTAACGCATGCTATTGTAGATTTGCATGTTATTTTGTAACATATATGTATTGAAGTTGAAATTTATAATGCAGGACCCCACCGAAAAACACTTCGGTGACGTATGTATCCTGGATAAATATAAATATAATAATAATTCTAGGGCTTGTTTCAAACGTCGCGCTTCTCATGTGCGGAACGCATTAAAAACAATAGATAATCAGCTGAAATGCCTCATTATCTATTGTTTCCAATGCGTTCGGCACATGAGAAGCGCGACGTTTGAAACAGGTCTAATAAGACGCTTTTGATTAAATGTTCTCACGCAACATTAAATTAGCAGCACAGGACACTGTTGAGGAAAATGTTTTCATTTGTCTTGTAATTGCCATTGTTATATGCGGTATTTGTTTATTTGGTAATGTACATGCACTTGGCCGATGTATACGGTGGCTCACGAGGGACATCACATAAAATTAAAGATCAAACACAAATAAATTAAAAATATAAAATAAATTAATAAAAGTCATACGCTTTCTTTTTTGTGTGCGTTCATCTTCATTTTTGTTATGTGTGTGTCCCATATTTTTCTTTACATATTCCTTTTTTTTAATTTGCACGTACAGTTTAATAGTTTTATTTGTGATGGTTCTTTAAATATGATTTTATTTTTGTATTTATTTGTGTTCTTCTATTTTTATGCAGTGTCTCTTGTGAACCATGGTATACATGGACATTTCTTAGCACTTTCTATTGAATATTTATGTTATTTCAGTGATGCATTGTTTTATTGTCAAAGTTGTTTTATTTAACTTCTTTAATATTTAGAAAATCTTCCTGCAAAAGATGACCAAAAACCTGAAAAGGTAAAAACCCGCATTATTACACAATACATTGAAGTTGGTTTTGTACAGTCAGTCATTTGTCATTCATGGAGTAAACCATCAGTTGTAATGGGTCTCTGTAAAGAACGGAAACCGAAACGACCGAATCCGGAAACGACCGAAACCGGAAACGACCGAAACCGGAAATTTCCGCCTAATTTCCCGCCTAAAATTGCCTAAAATTCAGCCTGCGAGCAGGCTCACTGGCAAAAAGGTGAGCCTGCACGGAACCAATGAACCATGCGTTTTATTCATTCATCCCCTTTTCCGCACTGATAAACGCGAAACAATCAGCGTCGACTGGGATAATAAACAAAGACTGTCAACCATAGCTGTCAGCTGTGAAATTGACGCAGGGCGTGAAATGTACAACGAATGAAATGTATAAAACAAGCGTAACTCCAAAGATCGATAACATTTTTATATTTATCAACGTTTCGACTATATTTCAATCATCATCAAGATAAAGAAATGTATATAACATTAATACGAAGCATTAACAAGCCGCACAATATATTAAATATAGGTACATTACGAGTTAATCAATACACATACAAATTAAAAGGACGATATTTATCTAAAATGATATGCCATGCGATCGAGTCATCGAGCATCAACAATATAATTATTCGTTATGCTGGAAATTAGGCGGAAATTTCCGGTTTCGGTCGTTTCCGGTTTCGGTCATTTCCGGATTCGGTCGTTTCGGTTTCCGTTCTTTACAGAGACCCAGTTGTAATTGGGGTTGGGATAAAACGCGGATGCGGACGGACGGACGGACACGCGGACGGACGGACGGACGGACAAAAGGGATAAAATGCGGATGCGGACAAAAGGGATAAAATGCGGATGCGGACAAAAGGGATAAAATGCGGATGCGGACAAAAGGGATAAAATGCGGATGTGGACAAAAAGGATAAAATGCGGATGCGGACAAAAAGCCTTACCCGCGATATATTTTACGGAAATCCCAACGCAAAATATATACAACAGGTATTACGAATGTAATAATAATGTAGTTATGCAAGGCGGAGGCTTTGCAGTTAATAATTGCTCCAGGTATGAACCATGCTAAATAGTCAAATTAGCGAGCTAAAGAGTAAAGAATTCATTGACCGATGACAAATAGTGACAAAGCAAATATAGTGACTTTAAAGAAATTTCTATAAATGTTTACAGACGTTTAGTCAGTTAGTGTTTACTGCTAGACGTACATCCAGGCTCTAAATAGTTACTTTCAAGATATAGGTATTTACCCTATAAATCACTACAAATGTTTAAGTTGTTAATACACAACCTCAAGAAATCGGATTTTTTGCAAGGCTGCCAAGGCTGATATTGTATTTTTTTAAATATTCTGGAGGGAACACAGTGAAGGTTAGTTTTTATAGTGAATACTGCAATACTGATTACTGTTGATTTGAAGCTCGATTTTGATATACGATGTCGGTGAAACGAGGACGAAAAATCAATGGACATTGGCGGGTTTTCAAGAAAATCATTAGTTTCAAACTAGGCCGTTTCAATTTTAATAAGTTTTCGTTCCAACTGTGTCTTTAAAGGTTTATAACTATATATTTTGAAAGCTTCAAATGCGTGCGTTTACATGCGCAGCAAGGCGAGATTTTGAAAATGTAATAGATATTTTTGAATTTCCATGGCATATTAACAACAGTTTGTTGCGAACATTTTCTCGGCGAATTTTCTACTAACCTGAATATAAATCCAACTAAAATATAGGCATTTTCCCAAGCTTTCAAACCATCCGCGTTGGGGGTTTATGTCGTTATATTTCGAATTAATATAATATAAGCGGTTGAACCTCGTGCCTAAAACCAGACATTATATTGTCCGACTAGAATATGTATTCCGACGGCAATTTGTACACCCTCGTTTAGGCAACGAATTCTCGCTCAATATTCTCTTGCTACAATAGTATAGCTCGTACCAAAATGTAGCTGAATTCACCAGCTATCTGACAATATGTGTAAAATTATTGTAGCTGTAATATTCGCACAGATATAGTGGAATAAAAGTCGTATGTTTAATATGTTGCATTAAACTTTCTAATTATAATTCTGGTTTCAAGTTTTGTTTACATTGTGTGATTTTGACTCCGTCGTTTAGACAACGTTTTCTCGCTCAATATTGTAGCTACAGGAATATAGCTACCACTAAAATGTAGCCATTTTCACAAGCATTCAAACCATCTGCGGTAGGGGTGAATATCGTTAAATTTCCAATTAATATAAGCGGTTGAAACTCGTGCCTAAACCGGACATTATATTGTCCGACTAGAATGTGTATTCCGACGGCAATTTTTACACCCTCGTTTAGGCAACGTTTTCTCGCTCAATATTCTAGCTACAATATTCTAACTCGTACCAAAATGTAGCTGAATTCACCAGCTATCTGACAATATGCGTAAAATTGTTATACCTGTAATATTCGCACGGATATAGTCGAATAAATGTTTATGTTGCATTGTGTGATTCGTTGTCTATAAAACGAGTGAGGGTGTCAAAATCACCGTCGGACGATACTAAATGTCTGGTTTAGGCACCAGTTTCAACCACTTATATTAATTCGAAATTTAACGATATTCACCCCTACCGTAGATGGTTTGAATGCTTGTGAAAATGCCTACATTTTAGTTGGAGCTATATTCCTGTAGCTACAATATTGAGCGAGAAAACGTTGTCTAAACGACGGGATCAAAATCACACAACGTAAACAAAAGTTTAATGCAACATAAACATATGACATTTATTCGACTATATATGTGCGAATATTACAGGAACAATAATTTTATGCATATTGTCAGATAGCTGGTGCAATCAGCTACATGCAGCTAGAATATTGAGCGAGAAAACGTTGCCTAAACGAGGGTGTAAAAATTGCCGTCGGAATACACATTCTAGTCGGACAATATAATGTCCGGTTTAGGAACGAGTTTCAACCGCTTATATTAATTGGAAATTTAACGATATTCACCCCTACCGCAGATGGTTTGAATGCTTGTGAAAATAGCTACATTTTAGTGGGAGCTATATTCCTGTAGCTACAATATTGAGCGAGAAAACGTTGTCTAAACGACGGGGTCAAAATCATACAATGTAAACAAAACTTGAAACCAGAATTATAATTAGAAAGTTTAATGCAACATATTAAACATACGACTTTTATTCGACTATATCTGTGCGAATATTACAGCTACAATAATTTTACACATATTGTCAGATAGCTGGGGAATTCAGCTACATTTTGGTACGAGCTATACTATTGTAGCAAGAGAATATTGAGCGAGAATTCGTTGCCTAAACGAGGGTGTAAAAATTGCCGTCGGAATACACATTCTAGTCGGACAATATAATGTCTGGTTTTAGGCACGAGGTTCAACCGCTTATATTAATTCGAAATTTAACGACATACACCCCCAACGCGGATGGTTTGAAAGCTTGTGAAATGCCTACATTTTAGTTGGATTTATATTCAGGTTAGTAGAAAATTCGCTGAGAAAATGTTCGCTACAAACTGTTGTTATGCCACAGAAATTCAAAAATATCTATTACATTTTCAAAATCTCGCCTTGCTGCGCATGTAAACACACACATTTGAAGCTTTCAAAATATATAGTTATAAGTTAGAGTTATAAACCTTTAAAGACACAGTTGGAACGAAAACA